TCATCGAAAAAAAAGTAAACGTCTACACTTAAAAGTGTCATCATCTGATAGAGAATAGTTCAAAGTATAAGAAAAAGTAATTTTGCAAACTACCAGTCTTTTATTTTGTCTGATTTAGAGACCGAAAAGATAGATGAGTACTGTTAAGCAAATATAGTTACTTTGATTGATATCAAAAATTTACAAAAAATTCTAAGAATACATTCGACGAGAAGTCTAATTACAAGTATCAAACGTAACAAGACACTAGAGCAGCTTTACCACTGTTCTTTGTAATGATGTCTATTCAACTACATCATGTCATCAAAATGTTTCTATCTCACACATCACAAAACTTTATATAGGAGAGAGAAATGTACATAGGAAAAAATAAGAGAAAGAGAACATTAAGTAGATAATCTGAAGAATCAAAGAAATATCTCCCTCTGGCACAACATTCCGCTAAGGTTTGAATGTATCTTCATATGAATGCCCTCGATTCATCGAAATATTTGAAGCTCTATCGGTAGCTCCAGCATAAATTCTAAGACGAGCGCAATCTGAGCAAACGTTTGCTCTAATCCACACCCCACCGCAAAAATCTCTGATTACAGCGAATTAGTAGTGAATTCGTTCGTTCCTTCATATAGGCAGACGCCATTATCCAGAAAAAGAAATAACTAACTGGATACATATTTTTATCTGATCTCTGTGCTAGTTGTCCGATGTATACATCAGAGAGTAATCAGTGATCTCGGTTGAATCGAATTCAAAAACCTTTATAAAGACTTGCATATGGACGCATCTTCAAGTTCCATGTTAATTATGTGATTGAACCATCAAATATAAAACAGTTAGATAATAAGAAACATAAATGCATTCACATGTTGACTGCTGAGATTATATAGATTGGATATTACATTCAATACCTCGACACATGAAATAAATAATAGTCAACTATGCTAAATATGCAGAAACAGAAGTTATTAAAATAACTGCTTGTTCATCTATTATTAGTAAGTGAAGAAAATATAAATAGAAAACCACTATTATTTGATATGTATAGCTAGAATCAGATTATTCTCATGAAAATAGATCAATATAGCCGGTAGGAACACGCAACAAGAAAAACCCGAAGCTTATACTTAACTGAACTTTGTTCCTCTCACTTGGCATTAAATATTAAGTCATATATTGAGTCAAATTGAGTAGATCGGACTTCAACTTGATTGAACTGAATCGAATTTCACTGCTCAACAATTCAAGTTCAATTTCAAGAAAATAGAGAAAATAACGATACATGCACGTGAGATGACATCATTATCGATACACCAAACCTCTAAGCTATCTGCTTAGAACTTGAAAAATGGCCTTAGAAATACGGAAGCAATTATGTAGGATCTATCTACTCCTCACTGTATCACATAATGTAACATAGTAGATTCGTTTGTTTTATTGTTTTGAATTAAATCTAATCGGAGTTTATAGAGAATTGAATTCTTTGTTATGGCATGAAACACAACATAGTTTATGAGTTCTCTATTTGAATATTTGCAAAGGAAAGAATGCTACAAAACCTTTCCCATACTCGATATATTAATACTATTCAATGAACCTATCGTTTCAAGCAGAATTTCATTACATAGCAGGTTTTTTTTTACTTTCATGAGTTTTAGAGTTAAGGAGTATTTTTAGCTACTTGTTAAAAAGTGCTAAACTATATTCACGTCAATACAAAATAAAAAGAATGTTGTTTTAATTTACAAAAAAACATATCTTCAATTAACAAAATGTCTACATCAGAATCGACTATCATTTCCAGACACTTTTTAAAATTCTCTTTATCCTATATAAAAGCTCGTTTACCTATCCAAAAAATAACACATTCAAGACATTATCTCTCTTCACTATATTTGCAAATATCATATCTATATCAATGAATTTCAATCGAACTAACAATGGTACAATACGTCCTCCACCATCGAATAGAAATCGATCAAACGAATCTGATTTTCGACCTGGTAGAGATAATGATACTAATTTTGAAAGGGACCCAATAGATCAAAGTCCAGAAGTTATACTTTATCTTTTAACAACTCTTGTCATTCCATCAATTATCTGTTTTATTTTTCTATTCTACAATTTTATTCATCTACCACATCTTCGATCTAAATCAACTAGTTTATTCATCATCTCTTTATTAATTATCAACTTCATTCATGTAAGTTCTCTTCTTTCCATTTGAATCTTTGAAAATAATTTTTTTCTGATTCAAAATTGATCTAAATATCAATTATTCATATAGATATTGACTGATCTACCATTTCGTCTCTATTATCTCTCTCAAAATCAAGTTCCTTTTTTATATCCAATATTTTGTCTTATTTGGACATGGTATGATAATATATTAACTGCAATTAATCTCTTTATTATGGCATTTACTTCTATTGATAGATATATTTTTATATTTCATCATGTTTTTCATCGTCGTTATAAACGATTACTCTATCGAATACCTATGGTTATATGTTTTTTATTTGCAACTATTTGGTATACAGTTTTAATATTTGGTTATCCATGTCAAAATTCATTTATATATTTTTCTTTTCAATGTGGAACATTGTGTTATTTGAAAAATTCACAAGTTTTAACTCATTTTGAAAATGCTATATTTTTCATGTTTCCATTAAGTATAATTGTTATTGGAAACATTATACTTATTATTCATGTTTTTATTCAAAAAAGACAAATGAAATGTCGACATCAACTTGGCTTATGGCGACAAAACTTTCGAATGATTAGTCAATTGATGTTTATAGCTATTTTATATATGAGTATATGTGTTCCATCATGTATTTTATTAATAATGGGTAGTTATGCTCGAAATAATCGATTTCAATCATGGGCTGCCAATGTGCGAATTCGTTATTTTACTCATTTGAAATATTTAGTGGTATTTGGATATCCATTTATGGTACTTGTTGGACAAAAAGAATTACTTCAAATGATTAAAAGATGTTTCTATTCTTTTGGACGTCAATTATGGCGGACACGATGGAAAAATCAAATTATTCCTATGACTATAGTGCCACCTATGAAGCACGGTAGCACATTAATGTGAAACTGAAAAGAACATTAATTGTTGTTGTATAACAGTATTTGTATTGTAGTGAAATCTCATTAAAATTATTCATGTATGACAGTATGTTCTGTATAATAAATAAAGTCCTTAGTTATAACTCGAAATGACTTTGATTTTGAAAAAATACGAATGAACCAATCTATTTTAATCATGTTGAAACGAATCTTTATGTTTTTTGATAAAACAATAATCAGTATTGTTTCTACAGTCCTATCAATTAAAAGTAGAATTTAAATTTTGATTTTTTTTTTTGTGAAAAATTTTATATATGTTGTTATTCATTCTCTATTTGATAGACATTATATTTATATACGATTGTTGTAGGATTGTGTAGGACAGCGCTTGTATAACTTATATTATTAATATCATTTCATCAACAATGAAAAGAAAAGAAATAAATAAAAGTTAATTAGTTTTTCAACTATCATATTAATTTGATTTTTACCTGTTCATATTTCATTGCAAATGAATGAATGCATGACCAATAGAAACAGGATATCATATACTACTATCCTACCGTATAAAATCAATTAATTTTTTTTCTTTTATCATAAAAGATTGAGGAAGAAAATAATTGGGTGATAATGGAAAGAAAGTTATAACTTGTCCTGTTAAAGTCTCCTAACAGGAGTGTCACACTTCCCGTTACTTGGCAAGTGGAAGTCAAAGTAACGGGAAGTGTGACACCCGTACTTCCAAAGTTTTTGCATATCATTTCGTAGCACTTTTCTGCTCTATCTATCTATATGAACATTCCAAAATTGATCCTTTTATGAACAATTAAATTTGTTTGAGAAGAAACAGACTTTAATAGGACAAGTTATAACTTTCTTCCTATCATCACCTGATTATTTTCTTCTTCAATCTTTTATGATAAAAGAAAAAAAATTAATTGATTTCATACGGTAGGATAGTAGTATATGGCATTCTGTTTCTATTGGTCATGTATTCATTCATTTGCAATGAAATATGAACAAGTAAAAATAAAATTAATATGATAGGTGACAAAACTAATCAACTTTTATTTATTTCTTTTCTTTTCATTGTTGATGAAATGATATCAATAGTATAAGTAGTACAAGAGTTGTACTATAAAATCATACAACAATCATATATAAATAAAACGGAGAATAAATAACACCATACACAAAATTTTTCACAAAAAAAATCAAAATTTAAATTCTACTTTTAATTGATAGGACTGTAATTTCTCTGTTATTTCGTTTTCATGACTTCAGATTAAGAAAGTACATTAATTAACAATAAAAACTCTTTTATTCAAAAGTTGCCTTTTTATTATATGAGAAATTCATATTTGTAGTTATTAATTATATTTTTAAGCCTAAACTTAAATGAAAACTGTCATTCACAATACAAAAAAGAAAATAACAAGCTAAGTTAAATGACTGAAATATCCTCTAAAAATTCCATTATATCTTATGCATTTAGTGTGGAAATCAGAGAACAAACATGTATACTCACTTGAAACTAGCAAAAAAAAACCTATTTTCCTCTTTTATAATTTTATTAATAAATTATTTTGACCATACAAATCGATATGTATGTGCATATTGTTTTTACATATTAGATAGTCTATCGAGAATAGTTCTGAATGAGTCGATGAAATAATTTTATTTATTTTGATTTTACCATCGTAACCAAATCAATGAAGAGATCAATCAAGTGGAAATTGATGTTGTTCTTGTTCTCTTAACAAATATTTTCTGATTAACAATCATCAAGTAGATGACGACATATTTGTGTTCTGAGTTATTCTTTTTTGCTTATTCTAATCAATACATCATGACAAATAATAACAACAACAACAAAAAAAAAAAAAAAAGTACAAAAACAAAACAAAACAAAATAGAAAAATTTTTTAAACTTTTGTTTGTCGTGTATATCGAATTTGTTCCGATGGTACAAAACGTTCTGATGGGACTAAACGTTCTGATAGTATGAAACGTTCTGATGGTTTTGGTCGTATTGGTATATGACTTTTATGATTTTGAAAATGATCATTTTTCTTTTCATTATATTCATTATTATCTGTTAATGATGATGTTGATGAAACTTTTATTTCAACTGTTATCGATGTTAAAAATGAAACTAATGTTAATATTAATATAATTAATATACATATATATGATGCACCTATACGTATATTTAAAGCATTTTCAATTTGTTGAATAATTATTTCTAAATCTTTTGAAAATGTATAAATTTGTATACGAGAATAATGACGACGCATAGATTCAAAAAATTCTAATGGTTCAGTAAGACGATTACCATTATATTGTATTATAATAATAATAAGAAATAATAATGAAAATAATGATGATATAATTGATATAAGACGAAGTTGAATATCATTTAAACAATGTTTCATACAATGACGACGACATAAACGAAATATATTAACAAATATAAATAAAATTTCAAGAATAATTATAAGTATTAATAATTTATGAATTATATTCACATAGGACGGTTGTTGACATGTACATTTTATATCATGATTATTTTCATTAGTTGTTAATAATATATTTGATAAAATACATTGACGATGATAATCTATATTATGACATAAGCCATAATTTATTTCTTGAAATGATGGTAAATAATTTCGTCCACATTCATTACCAGTTATACAATGAGTTAATAAACCAAATGAATGAGTTTCACCTAAGATAGACAATATTAATCTTTGTTGTTTTTTTTTTGTTTTAAATTAAATTTACCTTGACGATAAAGTATCTTAATGTATTTTTCAACTTCACCACGAATTAATGGATCCATTGGATTATTATCTGATAATGTTAATGGAGTAAACGTTGAACGTAATTGAATATATTTCCAATTTGGTTGATGATATGCAATCAAACTCAATATGAATGATATCAAACTGAGAATGAGTGATACAATAATAAAAATGCGTGCGGACGACTGCTTCATTCATTCAGACAATTGTCTTTAGAATAAATAAATAAATAAATAAATAAAAAATAATTCTTCATGTTAAACTACTTAGTATAATCAAGTTTTTAATAAAAGAACGAAAGATAATTTAACTAATAACTCAAATCACTTGTGTAATATTTACAAATACAAAGAATGAATGTTCCTTAAGAATATAGATGTTCAATTATCAATCTATTATTACTAATATTAGTAATAGAACCTTCTATTCGAAGGGCTTCTTTCGAATCTATAAATATATGTGTATATGAAAGAAAAGCAGATTACATACTTCTCTAATGTCATCAAGAATCATCTTGAAACAAGAAAAGTATCAAGATACTATCAATAATTTGAGAGGTGTCTTCGATCTAACTATATTCTTTACGATGTAATTAGTTATTAAAGCAGAAAAAGACACTGTAAAAAAAAAAGACACGAAGTCACTCAAGACAAGATGAATTGTATGCTTATGACAAACTGACAACGTAACGCATTTTTTTTTGGTCGTGTAATTTGTGCGCTTAGTGACAGGTGTATACGTATGTATGTGTGGCTTATAGACAGAATAATGCCGGATGTACGACTACATTTGTGTCAACTCAACGAACAGTGATGCCCCTCCTTCTCTCCTCTCTCGTATTTGATGAGTTACAGAAAGATAGATAGATAGCTGGATGGATGGATGGATAGAAAAAAAATAAGGAAAGAAATAGAAATAAAAATGAGAGAATCTCTTGGTCACGTATTCATCGTACGTGAGAGATAGACATGTTAATGTATTAGAGAAATGATTCTCTTCTTCACCTGTTCTCCCGTAAACACTTTACATAGTATCGATAAGTAACAGTCATAGTAATTTGAACATTTTGTTTCTCTCCCTCTCTCTCTCTCTTTTTATCTCTCCTGCCAATCCTCTTTGCATATTAACTTGACAGACAGTGCGAAACACACAGAAAAAAAGAATAGAAACACAAAAGAATACCGACTTTTTTTTAAGCACATGAAAGAAAGTGAAAAAGAAAAAAAAAGTAAAGCGACTATTGTTGTAAAAATTATTAAGAGTATGTTGTTTGCATATTAATTTATAAATACGTCGAGTTCTAAAGCTCTCCGATCGAATCACTTCTTTTCTTTCTCTCTCTTGAGCTAACAGATAAAAAAAAGACGAGGAACGTAATAGTAAGATTAAAATGCATCGTTGAGTATTGATACACATGTGTATATGAACTGATATCTTTCAAAATATCAATGCCCCGAGAGTATGCCAAACAGAATAAGTAAGTAGAACAGCCACTATGTCATCATGATGCGTAGATTTTCGAGAGGAAAGGATATGACTTTTTATGAACAATTCACACTCGGAAATCTTGTCAATGCATTCAGTCTTCTCTCATTTTCTATAGTAAGCAACGTCACTTTTCGTCTTTTCTTCTTTCTTTCTTTCTTTCTCTCTCTCTCTCTCTCTCTTTTTGTTACATTTACTAAATAGGCGCCTAGAGAGATAGGAAGAAGACTTAATAATTTCATTGTTTGCATCAAGAATGAAAAGAAAGGTGTGGACATTAATATAAAATAAAGTCACTAGAGACGAGGTAATACAAGTAGAATTGGTCAGAAAATATGATAAATGAGATCTGACATGCTTACTATGAAGACAATGACTAAATCAATTTTTGTTTTCTTCTAGTTGTTCATTTACTAGTTCGTTCTCTCGTGTCCGTACTTGTTGTAGTACGACAAAAAAAAATAAAAAAAATAAAAAGGAAATCGGTTGAGCCTTCATAGAGAACCATCAATGGTTCGATTAGGAATCCAGCGGGATTTATAGCATGACTACATTTTTATGAAGGGTAACTATGTATGTGTGTGTGTCACACGAACAAATATTTGATGATAATAAATGTAAAAGAAAAAAGAAAATGATAGACACAACGTTTCCGGACGTGTAAAACACCAAAGCATTGATTTTTTTTTGACTAGTATATAAGATTGATCTTTTCTTTTTTTTAATTTGACAGGTGAGAGACAATGAACAGGAAGTCTGTTAAGTATCTCTTGGTCAACTCATTAGTATAGATAGGCAATTCATCATTTTTCTTTTTGTCATTGCTCTTCATTCTTTACTATATATAACATAATGAGAAAAAAAAGAAGAAGAAGAAGAAGAAGATAACATTCAATGCTTGTTTGTTTTACATACAAGAGAAGAAGCAGCCAGACAAACTTTGTTTCTGTACGTGGATAGAATAAGAGATTGATTTCTTCATTTTTATAAACACCGATTGGCATTTGTGTACGTGCTTATATTCTTTCTCTATCATTCTTTCTCAAGTGATAAATAACAAGAGAGACGTATATGTATACATATATCTATCTGATGAGTTAACACGAAACATATTGTCTCACTCAACGATACTTACATATAAAGTAGACTCTTACTAGGAGCATTTAGAGCAAAAGGTCAACTCATATTATGCTATTTATATAGTAAGACGTACCTTGCTATACTCTTTTCTTTTGTTTTTTTTTTGGACAAATTGTAACATGCTATTGAATTACGTGACTGTTTAAAAAACATGTTCTTTTTTTTATATTTAATTTTAAATCGATTGATAAAAATGATAATTAAATTTAATTCTAATATGAATCAAGAGTTTTAGTTATCGATATTCATCATCAAGTGTCAAAGTTCGATGATATTCAAATGTAATTATTGCATCGAATATGATTATATAATTCAATGTTTAGCTATTTAGATCATTTGATTTTGTTCTTTTGTTTTTTTTTCTGAAAAGAAACAAGATATGAATTATGATCTTCTATTATTATTAAGACAAAAAAAAACAAAGTCATTTGTAATCGGAATATAAAATATTTATGAAATGACAAGTTTAAATACATTTACAAGTACTCAAAAGACATAAAAAAATAATAACCAATAATATACAGAAGTTTTAATGTAGCGTAAAGTTTCAGGAAGAACATTTTTTTGCTTATATAAACAAATTAACACATTGCTTTATAATTGAATAAAAGCGTTAAATGGTTTATATAAAAGTATGTTATGTAAAAATATGCTGAACAATGTAATAGAAACCAATGATTATTTAAAGTGTCAGATTATCAATTTAATTTGTCGATAGAATAGATATTAAAATTGCATCGTAATGAATTAAAATATTTAATAAACAAGACTTTATTTTTTGATTCTTACAAAAGAAGTCTCCGAATTGATTAATTACTTTTACATCGAAGCCATATGCAACATGTAAACGTAAAATGAACTATGAATATTTGACTTGAAATTTTGCATAGAGACGTAATTTAATGAGAATAGTTTATGATGAAAGTTTTCGATCTTTTGATTAACGTTTATTTTGAAAAAACGAAAAGACCTGAAACTTTCATAATAAACTATTCTTATTAATTTGTGTCTGTATGCAAAGTTTTAAATTGAAATTCAAAAAAAAAAAGTAGTATCTTCGTGTCAATAAGCTAAAGGCTCGAACTCGTTTCAGCATATTAATAGTTCATTCGGGTTTACATGATGCACACACACATACCTACGACTCACAAGTGATTAATCAATTCGGAGACTTCCCTCGTTAGATTAGATGTTTAATAAATAAGATCTTTATGTCAATTTTGTTTTACAAAATAATATTTTTATGAATAAATGATAGAGAAGTAAACATGATAATTTTTATTGCATGTCTTCAAGATTCATCTAATGGCTGGAATTTTTGTTGATTAAAATAGTTCTATAATTACATGCTATGCGCTACGTAAATAACATCTTGTCATGAAATTTGATTAATCTATATTCAATCAGTTTTATGTAACCTTTTATTACATGTCAAATTTATTATCAGATTTTTTAAATAGTTTTATTAATATTGAGTCAAATTTCAAGGCAATACAGGTGTGCAAGTAATTGCTTGATATATTCGATAGTTTTCATGGTAAGATTTGAAATACTAAGAAGCCATTCGATTTAATCGATCAGACAATCTCATACAATCAAGTGGCTACAATTTGTTATTTATATTTCACCTGTTCACATGAAATTAGATACTCTTGATATGTGATATTTATTTTTACTTAATCTATTATATATGTAGCGTCATCTATAGAACAAGATTGACATGTATGTACATATGTGAAACATGTTTTTATTATATTATTTCTATAAAGTAGTAATAAATCAAAAACGAAATTTTGAATATAAATTTTAATGAGGTTTTTATATGAAATCTGATTTGATCTATCGATTGTCCAAATCATATCCATTCATTCTTATCATTTTCTTTCACGTGGCTATTCCCTGCTTCTATAATAATTTGTCGTTATTTGTGTAAATACTTCTCTTCCTGATGATGTATTATTATTGATAACTGTAATGACTTATTGTTGTTTTAATTTGATTTTTTTCTTTTTTCTTTTAGTTGTTTGAATTATTTTTTCAATACTTAATGTAATTTATATGTATATGTTTTTGTATTTGGATTCATAAACATAATTATGTCTTTGTTGACCGATACTATTGTTGTAACCATTTCTCAAGTATGTATTTTTTTGTTTTTGAATGCATATTATTTTCTTTTTATATGAATAAATTTTAATTTAGATCGCTTTTTTTGTTGGTGGTTGGCTTTTCTTTTTTCGTCAACTTTGTCGAAATTATGATGTTCGAAATCGAATAGTAATTCTTTCATTTGCATTAACATTTGCATTAAGTTGTACGATGTTTGAATTGATTATTTTTGAAATACTTGCTTTCTTACAACCATCGTAAGTAGTTTTCAAAAAAGAATTAAAAAAAAAATTTCTTTTATTTA